TATTGCTATGTTCTATTGTTTTTACATAATAAATAAAATAATGTAACATTTTAATTTACTTAAATATTAAAAAGATATATATACCTGAACAAAAATAGTTAACTTTACAGAAATCAAAAACTTTAATTATTTCAAAAGTTATGTATTATTAAGTAACAGCTCACTTTACGCTAACTCACTGTAAACTAAGCTGAGGTAAAAAATATTCCCAACTTGATTGCATATTACAAACAAACTGAGCTATTATTTTAAAAATAGATCTATTTTTAATAAACGTGGTCTATAGACCACGTTTATTATCACTTTAAAGAGTTTATTTTAAGATACCGCATAAAAAAATCTTTTATAATACTAAAAAAAAAATGGGTTTCTGCTAAAATATTGGGTCTCAGAAACCATAGTGGGATGCAGTGGCGGTATAAAACTTCTTGAGGCCCGGGGATATTTTTGTTTTTAGAGATCTTTTCATGGGGCAGAGCCTAAAAATGATCCTCTTAAATTTTTTAGGGCCCCTAAATTTGCGGGGTTATAGGCCCTGATCCGGCACGGGTGGGATGTGATAAGCAGTGAAGTTGAAGTTGCGTTGCATTTTTTTATTCGACTTCATGTGGTGATAACAGGAATCAGTATAATTAGCGTAAATTTAGTTTTTTTTTTTTTTTTAGTTTATTAGTTTATTTCGCCGTTGAAAATATTTACAAAGTACAACAATATAAAAAGTACGATTGGCTGGAGAAAGAAGAAGGCATAAAATAGCCTTATCACCGAGCCCCAATAGTAACACAAATAACTATCCGTAATATACAATAATCCGTAATATATAAGCAAAAGTATTTAAAAAAAGACAATTTCAAATGTTAAGAAACAAAGTTAAAAAGAAGAAAAAAAAAAAAAAAAAAAAAAAAAAAAAAGTATTAAAATAATTGAAGAAAAATAAAAAATAAAAAAGAAATGATTAAGATATAGTAATAAAAATGACAAAAATTTTCTGTTTTTGGTTATAAATTGGATGTGATTCGACATATCGCGAGGTTAGAATTATTTTGTTCTATCTCCACATTTTTTTGTTTCGAGATAAAACGATTTAAAAAATAAAAACTTTAGGAGACGACATATAAAAAGATTTTTATTACTTATGTTTTCTCCGAAACTTTTTTGATTTTAACTTAGGTTTTTAATATAGTAGAAAAACAATACTTTTAGGTACATGACACAATTAATAACTCATTTTTTTCAAAAAGTGGAGATAGAACAAAATAATTTTAATCTCGCGATATATATTTGTATAAATTATTTTCTTTCAAAATAATTCAAAATTCAAATAAAAATTCTGTTCCAATATTATAAAATATATCAAGAAAATTGTAGGTAACTTTAAGAGAATATATATATTCAATGAAAATATGATAAAGACATTGAAATTCTTAGTATTGTTAAATGGTCTAGATTTTTAAATTTATGGTGCTAATTTAGTTTAATAAATTTTAAAGCTTTAAAAGTGACATTGAAGATCTGCTATATTAAAATCCGTAAGTACTAAATAACGTCTTAATTTAGATTTGAATTGCGGAAGTGTTTTTTCTTTAATATTAACAATACGCTGAAAGTTTTTCCACAAAATTGGACCCCTGTACTGAATAGAATAAGAACATAACTTTAGATTATACTTTTGAGTTACAAAGTTATTTTCTGAGAACTTGGTGGGGTATTTATTGCTTACTTCTCTAAAATAAGGATAGAATATCTCTGGAGACAGTCCATGTTTTATTTGATAAATGAACTGTATGACGTGGAATATGTTAATTTTAAACACATTTAATGCATGAGTTTACGTAAAAGTGGCTCACAAGGCACAGATCTTTTTACTCCAAATACAATTCTACATGCATGTTTTTGTTTAGTATAAATTTTCTTTAACTTAGCGTAGCTGTTGCTTGCCCATACGATATTGCCGTAAGTTAGATAGCTATGATGAAGGAAAAATATAAACTCTTTAGAGATCTTATATCCAAAAATGGTTTTGCTTTATACATCATTGCAATGTTTATTGAAAGTTTTCTTTCAAGAGTGTTTATATGTTTCCTCCATTCTAAATTTTCGTCTAAAATAACACCTAAAAAGTTTACAGTTGTTTGCCTAGCAATATTTATATTAATGATTTTAGAATTGGGTAATTTTAAAGGAAGGTTTCCTGTTTTGGTTGGTTTGTGAAATAGAATAAATTTAGTTTTGTTAAAGTTAAGTGAAAGTTTATTACAAATAAACCATTCATTTACTTCTTCATTAACTACTTTAAAGAGGGTTTTAATATCCCTATGAGAATAAAACAGATTGGAGTCATCAGCAAACAAAATAAAGTTTAGTATGTTCGAGGTAAGAGATAGATCATTTATATAAAGAGAAAACAGTAACGGTCCTAAGATTGAGCCTTGAGGAACTCCACATTTTATTATACTTTTTGTCGTTTTAACATTTTCATATTGAATGTATTGCTGCCTGTTTGATAAGTAATTTTTAAACAATAGTAAATTATTGTTTTTTATTCCATAATGTTCAAGTTTTTTTAAAAGAATGACATGGTTGAGTGTGTCAAAGGCTTTAGACAGATCAATAAATTGTTATGTAGTAACTATAGTTACTGCATAAAATTAACACTGTTATCACCACATAGGGTCGATTAAAAAAAATGCAACGCAACTTCAACTTCACAGGCATCGTTGAAGTACTAGTAATACAAAATGTAGTTTTTGGTGAATATATTGAAAGAAATATCGGGTTTAGTGATTGTCTTTTGTAGTTGGTTTTTATACATTTTCTTAAATATATTGTAATAATTGTGACAAAATTAATTCTCTCAGGATAATCATTTTTAACACTCGTTTAAATAATAATTAACGATCGCAACACAAACAATTTCCTTTGGAAAACTATATGAAAAACTCTCTAGAATGATTGATCTATAATTATTGCGTAACCATTCCCTCATAGATTAATTCCGCACGAGGAATTCTCGCATAAATGGAATAAAAACCGTTTTTTAAACGTCTTTAAAAAGTTCTTTACGTAAGAATATTTAGAAGACGTTTAAAAGACATTTAAAGTACATTTAGAACATAACTTTTAAAAACAAATACCCGTAAGGAACGATACGAGAAAACTATATTGTAATAATTATTTATATATATGCATTGAATTTTATTTATATGAATAATTATTTATGTGTATTGCAATAATTATTTAAATGCATGTATTGAATTCAAAACATATATATAAATAGATGTTAAAGAAAAACCAACACTAATTCTTTTTACTATAAACAAGAGTGCAAAAGCTTACATATATGTTCTTGATAAATCGCGAGGTTAGAATTATTTTGTTCTATCTCCACATTTTTTTGTTTCGAGATAAAACGATTTAAAAAATAAAAACTTTAGGAGACGGCATATAAAAAGATTTTTATTACTTATGTTTTCTCCGAAACTTTTTTGATTTTAACTTTGGTTTTAATATAGTAAAAAAACAATATTTTTAGGTACATGACACAATTAATAACTCATTTTTTTCAAAAAGTGGAGATAGAACAAAATAATTTTAACACACAAAAAAACTACATTAAAATGTTCGCCTGTCTATTGAAAATACTTTAAAGCTTTTAAAATATGTAGCAGTCTTCAAAAAATTCATAATCAAATAAAAGATTTATTATATTCAAAGTACAAAGACATACAAAGTAAAATTAGCTTTTTTGGTTTACAAAAATGCATTTTTTTTTCTTAGACCTCAAACATTTTTTTTGTGCTAATTTCTGAAAGTTGAGGTTAGTACGGATCCAAAAAGTATGACATGCCCCTGGGATATTTTTTTTTAGTTTGAACCTACTTCCACCGGGATGCGTTGGATCAACTTTTTTTTAAGTTTGTTCCACCAGAAAAGTTTGTTATTCAGTTCCACTATTTTAAGAAGTTGAAGGACTTGAAATTAAAAAATTATTAATCTGCGTTTTTAAAGTTTTATAAAAGTATTATACCATTTTTATTATTAGCAACTTTTTAAATAAAATTTATAATAAAAATAAATATCTTAATTCAAAATGATTTTTTTGACATTTAAAGGGTTTTAGTAAAAAAAAAAAAAAAAATCTCAAAGTAATTTTCTCCACCACAGGGCCGACGACATCGAGGAGGCCAGGGGGCACATACCCCCTCTTTTTTTGTAGAGGACCTTATTTTTTTTTTTAAAGAAAAATCTTGATATAAAGGACTTTTTTCACATATTGATGATTGTGCCCCCCCTCACTTCAAAACCCGTGTCGTCGGCCCTGCACCATGTCTAATATCCAGCCCAATGTGTGTCCTTTGAAACCTGTACAAACTGTATAGTTATTGGCAATTATACGTTTTGAGCCCAACCAATAAAATGAATAGCTTTTATAAAATTTTTATTGTGCTTTTTATAGAAAAGCCACCACTAAACGAGGGACTTATATTAGATGGTTATGATAAAGAATTATTTAAGATAATAAACCTATTATTATATTAATTATTATAAGAAATCGGTTGACAAATTTCTGGCTGACCGATTTATGCTGATAGGTACGATAAAATATGTACTGTTTTAAGAAAAATTTTAAAGTATTTTCTGAAAGAAAAAACAAACAAAAATATTATATACATTAAAGGAAGTTTTAACTTAATTATTGTATAATAAAAATAAAATTCTAATGTATAAAGTTTTAAAACTCGCAAAACATAGTTATCGACTATACTACAATACCTAAAGCCTTATTATACTTAATACATTATACATAGTTATCGACTATACTACAATATCTATATTATTATACATAATACATAGTTATCGACTATACAACAATATCTAAAGCATTATACTACAATACTTAAAAATTTCTTTATTAAAAGCAAACTTAATTTTATGTGACAAAAAATGCTAATAGATCGAAAATTCAAATAGCTAATAGATTGAAATGAAAACATCGAAAGTATTTATTACTTTATTATATTCATATATATTAGCTTGCTGTTATTTAAAAATGATTTCTTATTCACCTATGGAGTCAAAGTATCAATAAACTCTTTCGTTTTTGAAAAAGAACGTTCCGCAACCTTCAAATCTTCAATCAAATCCAGAAGTTTGACGGCTGGTCCGAGTTTAAAACCCATATGATGAAGAATATGCTCATTTTGCAAAAGAAGTAGGGCTTTACCATCAATTTCCTAAAGATAATAAAATGAGAAATAGAGATACAATTATTGGAAAAAATGTATGCATCGCTATTTAACCTTTTCATAATTTTATTTATTTATTTAGACGTTCATACGTTGAAAAGTTTCGTATATTAAAATATATAAAAATGACAACAACATGACTTTGGTCTCTCAGACCAAATACCTTGTCGACACTAGCCTCACTAAACACAACTATAAATTAACAAAATAGAGAAAAATTATTTTTCAAGATTTTCTTTACGATCTAGGAGATAAACTTAAAATTTTAAAATTTTAAGAAAATTTAATTTTTTAGAATTAACATAAAAGAAGTCTAAAGCACTGATGAAAAAAGCTACACTAAGAAGATGCAAATTTGGTGAATAGTCGAATCACAAAAGATTGAATTTTGGTTAGTGAAACAGATAACAGCTCACTTAAACAATAGCCATGAAGATTTAAAAAAAAAAGTTGGGCAATAGTTGGAGAAGTCAGAGCAAACTTCACAGTAATTAAAACTATGAGAGATTTTTTAAAAGTTCGAAGAGAGCTCTAGAGAACACTTTTGTGATAAAAAAAAGAGAAAAACACAGAATAGAGCGGGGCTTGAATGTGTATAGGCGTTTTTAAAGTCCTCAAAAAGTCCAAATAGAACAACAAATATTAGCATTTATTGAGAGAGTTTCTAACTTTTTTCATCAATATCAATACTGCTACTTGACTTAAATCCAATGAAAAGAAATAAAAGTTTCAATAACAATTAAAAAAAAATTAAATAGAAGGCACAATATTTAGCAGAGAAACAGTAGACATCAGCCTAAAAACCACTTTAAAAAATGTGACAGAAAAGTCAGCTGTAAGGTAGTTGTAAGAAGTTCAATGATAGAGTAAATCTGATTTAAAAAACAAATAAGAAAAGTTTTAACTAGATAATAGCAGAGTCTGAACTCTGTTTTTCCTTATTCTAAAAGTAGAATAAGGAAAAACTGAACCTAAGCTAGAATCTGACCAAATGGAGCAAGCTCTGCTTCAAACCCCTTAGCCAATTTCGTTGTTTTTGGTGACTCATTGATCATTACACTGAATGGCTTGGCCCTTTTAGCAATGATTATAATGACTCTAAAGTTAATGATTATAATGACTCTAAATTTTTTTTTTTTTATCAAAGTTACTTTGTGACTTTAGTCATTTTTTAAAGATTTCTTGTCTTGTAATTATGATATATACTTCCTGATGAACCTACAGAAGTCGAAACAGACTGTAGAAAAAATTTAGACTTCAACAATTCAAAATAATAAATGGTATCAGTGTTAAAATTAAAACCAAGGTTTAGCTTTGTCAAATACGCATATCAAAGCAATGTGTAAAAGTTTTATTGCACTAAAAAGTTTCGCACAAGTGACAACTCAACTCAACATCAAAAATTTCTCAGCAGCTCAACATCATAAAAAGCAGCTCAAAAGCTCAGCTTTCCTGTAAAAAAAACACACTAGTTTTCAATTAACTATTATATGCTACAATAATGTATTTTAATTATATACATTTAACCACTATTATAAAATTATACTATTTAAATTATTTACTAATATTAACTATTAACTCACATGGTCTTTAAATACTTGAGAAAATTCTTTAATGCAAGTTTTCTTTAAAAAAAGAACAACATCATCCACATTCCACATGCTAGGGCGATTCATAATATCGATACCAGCAGCTAAGATTTTATGAAATAGAAACTAATAAAAGTTTTTAATTCTGTATAAATTTAAAGAAAAAACAAACAAAAGTCAAAAAAAAAAAGATTACCTTGGATATTACTCAATATTTCTGCACTTTCAATTTCAACACCACCATCTTTTAACCTATTTTTGTCTGTGAGACTACATTTATGACTAAGAGAATTACAAGTGAAACAAAAGGATTCTGTTTGAGATGCTGTATCTGCATAAACTGGTTGATAATTAAATACTTCAGCCTGAGATATTGCCGGCCAAGTTACATGTTTTTTAGTATTTTTATCCGGATTCCGAGAGTCTTGATTACACTTTATCTGGTTCAAACTTAATGGCTCATTTTTTTCCAAATCCATAACTGAATGAATGTCACCATCTTCAAATTCAATAAACCTAGAGCTAACAAGAAAATATATTTTTTTTGTATTTGAACATCATTAAAAATGTTAACTAATTATAACCAAATATAACAGTTATCAAAATAATTTAAACACCAAGTTACCGAGTAACTTTTTTTTAAGAAAAAAGTCAATAATACTTATTTTTAAATAAAAAGTTTGAAACTAAAATAATTTATAAAATAATTTGAAAGTAAACAGGTCAAATTTTTTTAATTTACTTACTTCAAGATTCATAAAATATTTTTCATTCATAAAGTATGATTGAAAAGTTCAAATAGTCAATATAATTTTTAACATTTATTTCATAATTTTAAACATTCTATTTTCTTTCATAACTTTTAATAATAATCAATAATCTTTTTAATACATTTTAAATTAAAAAATTTTAATTTTAAAAGTAATAAAACAAATGTTCAATGAACCAGCTATCAGGTGAATCAAGTAACTCAATAAATGATTGGTTAGGTGAATATTCATAAACTCAATAAACCATCAGGTGAGTAACTATAACTTAATAATCTTCAACTCAATAAAAGCCATCTGTAAACTTAACAAACCTTTTTTTAATTCAATAAACAATCATTTTGGCAAATAACTCAATAAATCATCAATCAATCAACCGACTATTAATTTAAGTACACAGATAATCAACTTAATATCGCATAAATTAAAACAATAACTTAAACAATCTTAAACTTAAATCAACTTAATATTGCATAAATTAAAACAATAACTTACCTGAACAAAGTTTTATTTCTTGTGACACTGACTGTTAAATTTTTGTATACTTTTTATCCATTTTTCAGAAACTCTGCTTTTAAAACTAAATTTTTTAAATAACAAAATCTGAAAAGATCTATTGACTAACCTTTTAGGATATTGAAAAGAAGAAGCCAGATAAGAACCAGGGTTTGATGTTAACCTCTGATAAATCAATGGTATGGAGATGGCAGTGGAAGGTTTGTTTAAACAACGTGGACAAGAAGCATACATTTCAGTTGAAAATAAGTTAGGACAAGACCTTAAATTGTCTGCAAACTGTTTAAGAATATCCCATAATGATGAAACATGATCAATAACAGTAAGACAGCATTGAAATGTTGTGCCTTCACAAACAGTAGTGATTACACAATTTCCTCTACCTACAATTTACATATAATATATATATATATATATATATATATATATATATATATATATATATATATATATATATATATATATATATATATATATATATATATATATATATATATATGTAAGTATGTATATATATATATATAAAAATCAAAAAAAAAATTATTTTATATATTGGGTGGACACAGAAAAATCCGGTCAACTTTAAATTGAGATTTCTCTAAAACCATTAATGCTTTTTATTTTAATTTTTTTTTCATTGAATGTGTTGACATTAATAATATTTTAAGGGGCCCAATGGGCTGTTTAACAAGAGGTCAAATTTTATAGCGGGTTGATGCCACCATTTTGCAGACTTTTTCTTTTTTCACCTTATTGGTGGCATTATTCCACTTTTTGTAAAAAGTCTTTTTAATGTCTTGTTACTCCACCTGTCTAACAAAGAACTCCTAACTATTGCCCAAAAATCTTCAATCTTGCAATCTTTAGGATGATTTGGAGGATTCTCATCTTTAGGAAAAATTTTCACATAACTATCTTTACTATTCTAAAATGGTTCTACTACTAAAGAACCATTTTAGAATAGTAAGAAGCAGCAAGATCTGGCCAAAAGAGATATCAGTGTTTGTGTTTTTTTCATAAATAACAAAAGTCTTTTTTGGAGGCATTCTTTGATGTAGAGATCGGCAGTCAAGGTCTTCTTAGTGACAGAACAAGAGGGCTGCATACCAAAACTACAAGTTCTATGCGACACAAGGAACTTGGATAAATATTTTTTTTGTCAAATAATTTAAGTTGATCATCAACAGGTTTATCTTTGTTCTCATAGTAAAATTGTTGACCAGGAAGTTGTGAAAAGTCCGTCTTGCAATATGTTTCAAGCCTTCCCAGGAAAGGCGTGCGGTTTTTTTTTCTCGTACGACCACGAAAACGTTTTTCAAGTTAGAGAACATAATCACAACCATTTGTGCAAGTTATATTATATGCGTTACTGACAAATTGTTTTAAATTTAATAACTGCATAAGAAATTAAAGTAAACTTAAATAGAAAACAATAACAATAGTTTAAATAATTTGTGTTGTTTTTATTTTTGTTTTTTCTTAGTGGTTATTATTATCGGCAACAAAAGTCAAAGCAACAAAAAAAAAAAAAATGGTTTTAGGGGTTAAAAAGGATGACTTTCCCATATTTTATATGTTTTTTCTTTTAAAGAGGAGAGAGTATAAAATATGTATCGTCATCTGTTTGTGAAATATATTTGTATAATTATAATGTAACAAGTTTATATCAAGAGTTAAATTATACGACCGCAATTTACAAACTCTGTTAAAATATTATGTCTTTAAAATTTTAGTTCATGCAAAGTGTACTTTGTTTATAAGGAGCAAATTATTAAAAGTTTGCTAGTGAGAAAGTTACAAAAAACAAAACAAAAACAATAAACTTACGACTACAAAAGTAATAACACTTTAGTCACTAACTGCATTATAAAAGTAATAAAACTATAATAGTGTTATTACATTTATAAAGCACTTATTACTTTTAAAGTTATTTGTTCAAACAACATTATTGATTCCAAACATTTATTAAAGTAGAAAAGCATCTAGAAAAAATAAAGCGGATTTTCAAATATTATTAAAAATTTCAAGAACTTTCACATATCACTTAACAACGTTATAAAAAAGTACTTTATAAAAATTATAGCATTATGAAAATTCTACTTCAATTAAAATTTGGGAATACTAATGTTGCTTGAACAAAGAATGAATTTTAAAAGTTATAAGTGCGTTATAAAAGTAATAACACTATTATAGTGTTATTACTTTTGTAATGCAGTTAGTGACTAAAGTGTTATTACTTTTGTAATCGTAAGTTTATTGTTTTATTTTTTCGCTAACAAATTTAAGTTGATTCTTCTTTTAAAAACAAGGAACACGGTTTTGTATAAACTAAAATTTTGAATACTAAATATTTTTCAAGATTTTGCGTTTTGCATTCGCTTAATTCAACTCTTGTTGTTAGATTAAAATTATACAAATAAATTTTACAAACACATTGCAGTTTGTATTTTTGCTATCCTCTTAAAAAAAAATTAAAAAAAGGAAAATCATTCTTTTTAATGTAGACTTCAAACTTTTTTTTTCTTTTTGCTTCACCTTATCTAATTTTGTTGCTGAATGTAACTCTAAAGAAACAAAAATAAAAACAGTACACAAATTTTTTAAATTATTAATTTTTTTTTATTTTTTTTTATATTTCAATCTCTTTTTATTTTTTTTTTTTTGTTTTTTTTTGTTTTTGAAACTTTTTCAGCATTATTATAAAACTTGCAAACGGCCGTGTTCATGTTTTCTAAAATAATTGTATGCCTTTCCTGGGAAGACGAAAAATCGTATGCCTTTCCTGGGAAGGCTTGATACATGTATGTAAATTTATATAAATACATATGGTATAGTAGATATATATGTGTGTATGTGTTGTGCATATATACAAAACACACATTTTGCATATATATATATATATATATATATGTATGTAAAGATATATAAATATATTCGCTATAGTAAATATGTTTTTGTTGTGTATGTATATGCCCACTAAAATCAAGACAGCTTTCAAAAAAAGAAAAAAGGTAAAGAATAATGAAAGAAATTTCTTTTTTTCTTTTTTTTATATAAGTGCATGTCACTTTACTAAACTCTTTAAATTTTATTTAATTTTATCTCATATTTAAAAAAATAAACTTATTTAAGTAATTCCAAAAAGAAAAGCATTATTTCTATGACTAAAGAAAACTTACCAGGCTTCAGAAACCCTATAACAGTTTTTGGTGATATTGCACAAGCAATGATGTCTTCTAAAACTCCTTTAAGAACATGTATGATTTCTCCTTTGCGAATTGGAGTCAGTTTTCTAAGTTTTTCTACATCAATGTAAGGGCCACAAACACATTCTATATTGATACAAACTTCCGCTATAAAAATATATTTAAAAAATATGAAAAAAAAAAAATCAAAAAAATTTGAAAAACTATTTATCTATTTAATAAATATTTATCTGATTACCAATAATACTATCGAGTACCTTTATTTAGTGTTTTTGATTACCAATAATATTAATGAGTACCTTGATTTAGTGTTTTAGGCTTCATTGGAGTAGTTTTTTCTGCATGCATAGCGATTTCATGCATAGAAAGTTTTGAAGAAGAGTTAGGGGAGTATCTGGAACTAGAACAAGAAGATCCAATACTAAAAATAAATCTTCAGAAAAATAAATATATACTAACAATGGAAACAGAATAGTTATAAGTAAAGAAAAACAGTTGATTAAAAAATCTGTTGATTAATAAAACCTTACTTTGATAAAGTATTTTTTGCATCACCTAAAAAAAATAAAATTTAAAAATTTTAAATTTTGCTCTGATAAATCTTACTGATAATGACATACTTAAATCTGCGGGGACTTTAGAACATGCATCAACCAAAAGTTTAACACTATCTACATACAAAAATTTAAGCAGACACTATCTACATACAAAAGACTTTATTATTGCAAAAAAAAAAAAAAAAACTTAATTGCTTAGAAAATAGTTTTTTCATATTAATGAATAAAAAGTGATAATTAGTAAATTTATATTAAGGGATAAAGTGTGTACATAAACATTTAACACTAAGGGATAAAGTTTGTACATAAACATTTTCTTTTGAATAATAATAGCATAAGTAAATGGACGTTTTTTATAAAAACAAATAAATAAAAATTTTATTTTAATTTACAGTTTTTAAGAAAAAAAAAAGAAAAGGTTTCTTTCTTATTCAGGTGCCCCAAGAAGACCTAACGGTCTTGTCACAGAGCACTGCGGAAGTGCATTTAACTAGGAAGTTCATGCCTCCTTCATTACCGTGATGTGAAAATATGTCCAGAGTTCGTTTCGAACATGGATCTCGTAATTCTAAAGTAAGTGCTCTAACCACTGCACCACAGCCACTTTTTAAGAAAATCTCTTTTTAAAATTGATATTTTATCTTTATTTTTTTAATGTACCAGTCATTACCATTAAAGATAAGGGTTTTTAGAATTTTATTTTTATCATATTTAATATCTCACATTTTTTTGTTTACTGTTTTAAATATTAAAAATAGGGATATTATGGTTTGACTCCGACTCTGAAAAGCTTGAAGTTTCTACTGATTTTTACCACCAACATTGAATTCTGCCCAAATAATTTTAGACCAAAAGTTTTAAACAGATTTAAATATAGAACGCATTGCATTCAATAAAATTCGCTTGTTGTGATTTGAAACAATTATACTTAAAAGAAATTAAAGCATTTATTTAAAGTTGTTTTGTTTATTTAGTTGTTTTATTTATTTAAATTTGTTTTATTTATTTAAAGTTGTTTTTAAAGAGGTACAGCTACATCCTTAAAAGGTCATTTAAAGTCTTTGTATGTTAGTTAATATTATTCCCTGACTTCAACTATATCTTCAATAGACAAAAAAAACAAATCACATTTTTAAATATACTTTGATGAGGAATCAAAACATGGACTTCTTCTAATCTTAAGTCAATAGAAATGGATAATTTTATAATGAGGATCTTGCATTTTATAACGAGGATCTAAATATGTAGCAATTAAAAAATAATTGTTCAAATAAAGATCTGTATATTTTAAATAAAAATAAAACAAAAATGGGTGAAACAACCTTTTTAAAAGGTTTAATCTTAAACTTTAATCAAAATATTGAAATATAAATTCTTTACTTTTATAACAACACTCACCTTGTGTAAACCATGAACTACTTTTTAATTCTACTGTTTTTAGAAAACTTATGTCTGTCTGCAATCATCAGCCATAAGTAAAATACTTTTTATTTTTATTTTAATGTTTCATGATCACAATGATTTGAATTACTTTTTTCCTTTAAAGTTTTTTTTTCAGTTGTCATACACATAATTGTTAAAAAATTAATACATAGATATATTATTTTATTTACATATGTATATATTTGCATTAAACTTAATGTAATAATAATAACATATTACATACATGATTAAATATAAATAATTAAATTTAATAATTTTTATAATTATTATTATTTCTAAAAAACTTCACTTCCAACACCATTAGAATTGGAAGTTACTGGAAGAGAAAAGATGAAGTTTATAGAGCTAGATAACAATTGACAGACAACTTAAAAGATTACAAATTATATGAATCAGGAAAACAATATAAAGGAAGCGAATTCAAAAGAACTGATGTTTGAGGAAAAAAACTAAGCAAATAATAATTTTTGGAGCACTTAGGAACAGTCACAGTAAAAGGATGAGACTAAATTGAATGACGAGTAACATGAGAATGAATTTTAGTAGATGACACAAGAGATGCTAGCTCTTTAGAGCAGTGCTCATTATAGTATTTATAGAAAAGAGAAAAAAAAAGTAACATTATGACAATATGATAATGGTTGGAGGTTGGCTGCAAAAGTAGGTCCATCTGTGTTTACAATGCATTTTTGCAGTTTGTCTAAAAGAGAAATTGCATCATTGGAAGATCCGCCCGATATGGCAACAGTATTCCATACAAGGATGGATTTAGAATTTATAGAGATAAAAAATAAAATCAAGAATAAGAAAGTGGTGAGCACGATAAAGAGATTCAACCTTACCAGATGCTAATTTTGCAATCGATTAAATATATGGATTCCAAGAAAGATCGGAAGTAAGAGTTAATCCAAGAAGATGAAGGGTAAATGACTCAAAAAAGTACATTACCATTCATAAATATAGGAAGATCTAGGTTATTGCAAAAACAATTAGCTGGAAAAAAGTGGAGTTTTATCTAAGTTAAAGTTCACCAGCCACTGAGAGCCTCATGCTATAGCAGAAGTGAGATCCTTTTCAAATTTAAATGCCCCCTCCAAGCAATCATTAATGAAGAAGAGTGCTGTCCATCAAGTAAAACTGTTATACTACAATTGGTTAGAAAGGATTCAATAATCTTAAAGATGTTATCTGAATAACCTGAATTTAATATTTGAATGAAGAAATAATACTTAAATATTTAAATAAAGAATGAATGAAATGAATGAATAAAGAAAAGCCTTTTTATGAAAAAGAAAGCAATTTTTTTGTTTAGAACTACTTATGTCTCTGACCAAAGAATTTTCTTTTTTCCTCATTATACTAAATAATTTTTAAATTTAAATATTAATAATATATTATATGTATGTTATTATAAATATATTATGTTTAATACAAATATATTTATATTAAAAAAAAAAATCTCAAACAATTAAAAATAATAACCTGGAATTCGTAGTGGATGCTTTGCATGAGCGCACCAGCCAACTGGAAAAAAATCACGATCTCCATAATGAGAGGAATATCCTAAACCAGGGTAACCATCAAACTCTATATACACTAATTCGTCTTGAACTCTAACAACAGAGGCCACACCTATTACACTTGGATTCTGTTTATCTACTGCCTCTAACTTCATTCCAACCTCAAAACAATTTTTAGGTGGCATTGAAGGTACCTAAAATTATGAAAAGAAAAATCTCAACAACACACACTTAAGTAAAAAATTAACTAAAAGTTTGGGGAAAAAAAAAACATACTTTTTTGAAGCATCTTGCAGTTGCAAGTTCTGCTTTCTGGATCTTTAAAGAATAAAATTGCATGTAGTTTTTTGGGTCATGCCTATAGCCTTAAACAATTAAATTATTTTTTTAAATATTAAGTTAATGTAAGTAATATAAAATTATTTTAACTGTGTATGCATTGAACAGTTTTCCTTAATATTACATACTATCTTGTGTCTATTTTTGTTAACTTCAGATCTCTCTTGTTTGTTACAACCTTAAAGTTTTCTCCTAACAAAAAGCTTTACTTTTATGTCCAACCCATGCTAGCCCCAAAACACAAATAGTTTAAAATGACAATCATACTAAAAATAATCTGAAAAACCTCATCAAGCTAAAACTGTAAGTAAAGATTGCATAAGTACATATTATAATCAACTCATAAAATCAATAAATAAAATACTTTATATTAGGATAACATAACAATTTATTAACAGTAAATTTTTAAAATTAGATTTTAGAATAGGAGGCATTTATAATGTTCATATTTACCTGTTGGTGGAAGCAAAGAGCCACGATCAGTCCAACCAACAGGATGTATATCCCATGAATCACATAGTGTCCATATATCATACTTTGAAGAAGAGCCATCAAAGTGAAGAAGCAACCTAGGACCAATCATAAAGGCTACTGTAGCAAGACTAAAAATAATTTGATTGGAATCTTTTATTTGATCGTGTCTTCGTGCTTCAAGTTTCATCCCAACTGAAAACGCATTTGATGGGGGATAAGAAGCCTAAATACAGTAACAATTTTTAATTATCTTTTTATTTTATTGTCATGTCTTAATTTTTTAAATTTATTTATTTAATTTATTATATTTTTCTTATCTATATATTTTATCTATTAATTAATTTAGTTATTAAAAGTTCAAATGTTAACGTTTTTATAATAATAAAAAAAAAAAACATTTTTGTTTTATTAATTATATTTTTATTATTTATATTATTTATTTAATAATTTATCTATTTAAAGTTCAAATGTTAAACTCAACACTAGTTGTATAACATTTTTATTTTAATTATTAACTGCAAAGATCTTATATCATAACACCTAATAATCTTATAAACAAATAATTTAAAACTAATTTAAAACATCAAACAATTCTAAATCATTTTATGCTCTGTTTAGACAATAAACAAGAAAACCATCTAAAAATTGAATTTTTGATATATCAGACAAAACCACGACCTTTTTCAACATAAATTATTTAGGAATATAGACTTTTGAAAATAGTCTTTGTAAACCATCAAACCATAAAATCAAAAATGTTGCAGTAAAAGTATTGATAAAAAGAGCTTAAATAGCAAGCTCAAAGTTAAGGCTTTACATTAAAAAATAATTTATTTATAATATTATTTAACATTAATTTATTATTAATAAATAGTATATATACAGTAAAAAATAATTATTAATAACATGTTATTTTACAACAAAAAAATTATCAATGCGATATTTCTAAGGAAATTATTTAAATTTTGCTCAAAGTATGGTTTCTGTGGTAACATTTAATTGGTGAGGGTTTGCATGCCATGCAAACCTATAAAAAAATTTTTGTTTTCTGTTTATTTATAAAACTTTTATTGATTTTATGTATTCAACACAAAAACATTTGTACACAAAATTTTAACATAAAATTTTTAATAAACATAATAAATACTTAGTTGTTGATAAAAATGTCCCTTGGGTGTTAATAAAAATGTTTCATTGATGCACAAAATCTGTATAATAACCCTAATAGTAAAGTATTTTTTTCATACAGGAAAAATAAAATACCAGATAACATCTAAGATACTACCCCACAATGGGACAGATTTAGACCCACAGTGGGACAGATTTAGACCCACAGTGGGACAGATTTAGACCCACAGTGGGTCAGAGGTCAATCCGACAAAACTTTAAATCTAAAGTAGTCTTTTTTTTTAATAAAAAATAGTTTTATCAGTCTAATGTACGAAAATATTATGCATACATTATGTTTAAAAAGTTCCATAGGCAAGGAGATATCAAAAATTACTCATTTTTTTAAATATTGCATAAAAAAATTAATTTTTACATTCTTTCTATTTAAAAAGATAAGGAAAGCATATACTATATATTTTATATATGTATATAGATGTATAATTGATCATCAAAATGTCTTTATAAAAAATATAACTATGTTTTTTTAATGTTTGACTTTACAGATAGTTTTTTTAATTATATAAATTTGTTGTTTGTGCAAAAAAAGTAGTATACTAAGCAATATGAAATATATATTAAAGGTGTTTTTATATGTACTCGATGTTTACTACTAGTATCAAGCAAATTATCTTGTCATTTTTTGCTATCCTGGACCAAGCAATGATTTTATTATGAGATAATTATCATTTTTATAACCCAACCAGATTATTATGCCATTAATATCATTTTTATAGCCTGGCTGTGCTATATTTTAAATAAACCAATAATGAAAAAAAAAACTATTAGACTTCTTACAAGCATGATTAAATTGTAAATTGAATATGTGGAAAATATTTCACCTTACAAATTTTTGAATATAAAATAAATATCAGCAATTATTTGTCAAAATAAATGTAAAAAAACAAGTGAAAAAAATAATAATAATAAAAATACACAATTTGAAATTAAATATGCTACTTGGGTAGATGGTACTAACTCTTTTAAACTAATAAAAGATATAAAAAAAAAAAATCTTGGTGGAAGGCCAGAGATGAATCTTCAACATGATCATAGGACAGAAAAGTTTTTAATGAATTTGTACTTTACTAATAAAATATGCAGCTTATGTCAAAAAAATACAGCTATTCAAGCAAGTCTTTTACCTAAAAAAGATTAAACTTTTTTCTTTTTAGATACTGATCTGTTAAAGGTAACATACCAACTTTTATGCAACAATGTTTTAGAACTAAATTCACATATTTACTCATCAAACTATGCATTGAAGAGTCTGAAAGACAGATGTTATCCAGACAATATTTAAGTCGTTGGTTTGGTCTTTGGTTACTCTGCAGAAGTGCTATTGCAGTCACTACTTAAACAAGAAACAGTTTGTGAAGTTCTGATAGAAGTGCTAACTGATAATTCAGAGACTGTTCAGCCAGTGTATAAATATAGCCAGTTTAGATTAATGTTTAAATCACAACAGGAAGCTCACATGAAGCAATGATGTAGCTGTTTCCAAATTTTTTGAATGTCAAGAGGAAAAACTTAACAATTTAAGAAAAAAGTTCAACCAAGAATCAAAATATAAATAATTGTAAAATTCATGAGTTAAAAATACTTTTTTTCCATCAAAGGAAAAGAAACTTTAACAATAAGTTTTTTCAATTCAGGCGTTTTAATGTGGTTACTGTGGTTACTATACACCACAGGCTAATGTGGATACTGATGCTATAACTATTGTAGAAAAGATATTATTTTAATGGTTGCTTAAATTAATTTTAAAACAACATAAAAAATCAAGAAAAAAAAAGTCATTGTAAACTGATATAGAAATATTAAAATAAAAAAATGGTCTAAAAATAACTTTTATTTAATAAATTTTATTTTTATTCAGAAAAGATTGTAATAATCATGATTCACAGTGATAGGATCAACTTATTATGACATTAGTTAAAATTTTCTTTATTAAACAGCATTATAGAAACATTTATCCAGTTGATTATCAAATGATATTGATGATCATTGAATTTATGATTCATGGTAAACTAAATTGCATATAAAAATTATGAAAATACCTGTCTGCAGTACATCCAATCAGCAGGTTCAGAATTTGTTTCAGATAAGTATTCTGCCCAATTAAATGGTGATAAATTAACTAAATTTAAAAAAATTATGGAAATAAACTTTTGTTGGAGGGTAGTACCCATTGTCCACAGTTTGAAAATTTAAAAAAAAAACATATTTAAATTTAGTTTATTAAATAGTTTTATTTACATACATACATACATACATACATATATACATACATACATACATACATACATACATACATACATACATACATACATACATACATACATACATACATAAATATATATATATATAGATTAGGAAATAAATTTTTTTGTTTCTCTATAACAATATTTATTTCTACCGTTGAATCAAATGGATTGGAGCTAATCCCTTTGATTCAACGGTATGGATTTGTATTGGTATGATGTGGATTTGTATTGGTATGATGTGGATTGATATCTACCAATATCAATCTACATCATACCAATACAAATCCATAACATACCAATATCAATCCATAGATATGTGCATTCTTCAAAACTGTTTAAAAATGTCTGCTCATTTAGCTCATCCTACAACCAACATTTGAATAATAATCAACTTGTTGCGCTAGCATATGATTCAGCATATATCTACAATGTAAAAGTTGATTCTCTATATGAAACCACAAAAAAAAACATTTGTATGCCCAGAACAACCATTCAGACAGCTTTAATAGAAGCTACAAACACCTCAACTTTAACTGTACCAACTTGGCATGATGACTTTAACATAAATGACTGAGTTCTGGAATATGTTAACTTGATATTTGATCAGTGCTATGTTAGTAATTCTGATGTAGATGTTACTGCTGCATAATTTCCTACTCAGAATTGTTATAACTTCCCCCTGCTGAAACCTGACCTTTTCTCCCTTTCATGCAGCGCCACAAAATCACAAGCAGCTTGAAAAAATGGTTTTAAAAAAGCCTTGTACAAAATCCCAAAACTTGTTTATAAAACCCTGAGAATACACAAGCGCAGCACATAATAAAAGTGTTACAATAACCCTCAACTTCTTTATAAATTAATTGACTAAAACAAAAACTAAACAAATTGTATTTGAGGTCTCAAGAATAGCAACAGCAAGTTGCCATTGGCAACATCCAACAAAAATTGAAATGTGCAACATGCTAAACAAACAGTTTATCTCTGCATTAGTAAGTAATCAGGGTTCCAGTCCCAGCTGAATAATGAACTTTTTACAAACCTGACCCCAGTCCCAGCAAAATTGTAAGATTTAGTAGGAGTTGATAGCTGGGGCTAGGAAAAAATTATAATATAAAATTAAAAATACTTTATACCTTACAAATTTATGCACACATTTAATGTTTAATAAATATTTATGCATTCACTATTTATTAAATACTAACTTTTCAGTTAAGCAAAGGTTGCATAATTTTCCTCCGGGTTTAAACAGTTGCGCTTTATCAATAATCTTTCGTGTTATAATAGGATTTTGACATTCCTTTTTTAAATTTCCTATATAAACTTGTAAAGCTCTGTTGAATTTGCTTTGCTTTTGTATTGGAATGAGTTTTTGTGTATGTATCAACAATCTTTAAAAGTATTTTCTGTTGGTTCAATATAATTGAATCCACTGTCTTGTGGTGAAGTTTTTACATTACAGCTGTATACTATACATTTTTGAAGGCGTTTTCCTTCCAAAGAGCATTGTGAAGTTTGTTGGCAGTTGCATTGTTTGTTGGTTGAAGTGTAATTACCAGATAAATTTTTTTATTGTGAGCAGTGATGATGTTAGGAAAACATCTGTATCTTACTTTTATGTTGTTCTTTTTGATTTATAAAATTTTTATAAAATTTATGAGATTTTGGAAAATATTTTTAAACTAAATTTAAGAAAATTCTTGCAACATTTGCTCTTAGGTTAAGCGCAAAAGCTAAATGATCTTGATTTTAATATTGTTGTGGTAAGATTAAATTTATAAAAGATTGTTTTTTTGATTTTTATCCTAAAAAAGGTTGACGAGATTTTTCTTTTTTTTTTTGATTCTGGTTTTTTGATTTTTTTGACTAACATTATGAAAACAGAACAAACCATCATCTCTATAAAATCAGATAGATTGCAACCCGTATATGTTGCTTAGAGTATGATAGTATGCAGGATATAAAGACCAACAAGTTTGCACATCTCGGCCCCATCAAAACTTCCCAGAGTGACATCAAAGATTGGGTTACCAAGTTTCATAAATATTACTAGACTATTTGCAAAGATGAAGACTTTTTCAGAAGATTTTATCTTGCTAATATCACTATGCAGTGGATTTTGGAAATGGCATTTGGTTGCTCTGAAATTAATATTTTTTATCATTTTAAGTAAATCATTTTCAAAACTTACAAGTTCAGGAGACTACGTTGGACATTTTTTTGATTTAAAATCAAAATGGTAAACAGGTTCTTAATTAAGTTTTTTATTGTAAAACAAAGCCACCTCATTCTCTTTATTGACGATTCAACTTTTTCCATTAAGTAGATCAGATATAATTTCTTTGTTGGTGTTGACATGTTTTTCTTCGAATAGTTAAAAAAAAGTTATTCCATTGTTTCATTATTTCCATTATAAAAGTTCCATATTTCAATAACTATTTAATGTAACCATTATTTTATAGCTCGACAATAAAGGAGCAATTTAATAATATCAATAATTGTATTGATAAATACAGGTATAGAGTGCTCAATACAAAGTAGAGCAAGTTATATCATAATGATATAATTACATATAAGTTATAAGTACATATAAATATATATATATATATATATATATATATATATATATATATATATATATATAATATATATATATATTCACTTCAAACAAGGTTACAAGCAACCACTATTAAGTTATGAGTTACTAGAAAACAAAGAATAGGGTTAAAGAACAAGGAAACGGTTGACTGTAGGCTAAAAAAATTGTAGGTTGTATGAGTAAGGAAAATATAAAGATGTGTGAGAGTTTTGAGGTTTTGTTAATGTGCAAGAAAAAAAAAACTAGATAAATTAAAGTTTTTATAGCATGAAGAGATAAATACAGTAAAAGGATACAACTTTGCTGAATGACAAGCCAAGCAAGAATGAGTTTTGGCTGATCCAATTAGAGACAATAGCTCCTTTGAGCAGCAACCATTATAGTATTTTTAGAAAAAAGAAAGAAGTGCAACCTTATGACAATGGGAGAGCGGCTCAAACTGGGCAGATAAAGATGTTCAACAACATTTACAATGTGCTTTTGCTTTTTGTCTGAGAGTGAGAGGGTTGTTACTTGTCAATATAGAAATGTCAACAATATTGCAATGTTTGCAGCAAATAAATCATTTTTTTTGGAGTTAAAATCCACAAGCCACTGTAAGCCCCAAGCTGTTACAAAATCCACAAGCCACTGTAAGCCCCAAGCTGTTACAAAATCCACAAGCCACTGTAAGCCCCAAGCTGTTACAAAATCCACAAGCCACTGTAAGCCCCAAGCTGTTACAAAATCCACAAGCCACTGTAAGCCCCAAGCTGTTACAAAATCCACAAGCCACTGTAAGCCCCAAGCTGTTACAAAATCCACAAGCCACTGTAAGCCCCAAGCTGTTACAAAATCCACAAGCCACTGTAAGCCCCAAGCCCCAAGCTGTTACAAAAGAGAGATCAGATTAAAGATCCGCTGTTTTGTAGTTAAGAAAACTTAATGTAAAGACAAGAGTATAAAGTTGAGTTATCAACAAGTAGAACCACTTTAGATGTAAAATTGTCAGAGAAATCATTTATGTAAAAAACAATGATAGAAACAACCATTATGTAAAAAAAAATGTAAGAAACAAAAAAACTTGCAGAAATAAAGAAGAGAAGAGGCCTTCAAGAATGACTCTAATAAAAATTAGAAAAAAATGATTAAAAAATCTCAACAAAAAAAAATATGTAAAGAAACTAATAATAGAGAAAAGACTATTTGGAGGATAGTTGGAGAGGTCAGTGTGTTTTCTAGAGTTTTTAAAAATTGAAACCACTTATTTAGCACTCATTAAGAGTTAGTGAGAATTGAAGAGAGTTCTAAAGAACACTTTTATAAGACAATGGAAATGTTGTACCACAAACTGTATAAGAGTTTAACTGAGAATCGCCTTTAATTGAGAATAACATCAAAAGTAAGAATGATTTGGATATTTAACAATAGATTACCTTGTTCAACTTGATTGACAGAATAAGTACGGCCAATAGATTCAAGAGTCAAATTAGAGGAAAGACTCTTTACAAATAACTCTGCCTTATTCTGGGGAGAAGTAATAAGATCAGAACTAGGAATTAGTGATGGAATGTTAGACTTGAGAATTCTGTTGAGAATTCTTCTAAAATCTCTAGAACCTAACACGAGTTTTAGTAAATTGCCAACAATGGAGCTAATGAATTTTGAGTGCATCAGACAAGACCTTTTTACATTGATTTCTTGCAATAATAAAAAAATATTTGTTCTGAAGAGAGATGTAAAAAAGATGTAAAAAATGATTACAGTTAAATGTAGCAACTGCAGAAGAAGGTGAAAAACCTTAAAACTGGACAAGGAGTAGAATTAGGTTTGACTCTAAACTGACAAACCAGATTGGGGTCAAATACATATTTGTATTTGCTTGCATTTGTATTTGGTAATCATAGGCTAAATTTGCGTATTTGCATTCGTATTGTATTTGATTAAAATTTTTTTTAAATATTGGTATTTGTATTAGATTAAAATGTATATGAAATCATATAAACACAGTGCTTTAAAACCATGACAAAAATATGAAGACTGAAATCAGACATAAAGCAACCTTATGGAAAAATTAATATCAAATAAATCAAAGTCACCCATTTTGGTTTAACAATAGAAAATACAAAGTAAACTGGTTAAAAACATAGTGAGCTTAAACCACATTGAATTCAAAAAAAGAATAAGTGAAACATCAAAAAAAGATCCCAAATTATTTAACAGTTAATTCTAACAAAAAAGTTAAAGGAGGAATAGTTTCAATGTCTGATGGATATAATAACACTGTAATAATTAGAGAATCTATAGCAAATATTTTAAACAATAGTTTCACTTCAGTTTTTTTAATGAGCATAACATACCTGCAGAAGACTAAAATTATTCTAGAAGTAGATATAAACAATATAATAACTTGCCATACTATTGAAAATAAATTTTAAAAACTAGATGTTTACATAGCTGTTGGAGTAGATGAGATAAGCCCATATGTCTTAAATAAATGTCATAGTACTCTCTATGAACCATTAAATTTAATATATATAAAATCGTTGACTGAGAAACAATTACTTGAACTGGAAATTACTGGAAATCAGCAAATATAATCCCGATTTTTAAAAAAAGTAATACAAACAATGCATCTAATTACAGGTCACTCTCATTGACCTCTATCCCATGTAAAGTTTTGGAATCAATCAATGGAGATAAAATTATGGATTATCTAACAAAAAACAGCTTATTAAATGAAAATCAGGGTTCAGAAAAAAATAAAAGCTGCACATCAAACCTATTTGAAACTCTTGATATCATAACAGATGCACTAGAAAATGGCCACACAGTTGATATGTTATATCTAGCCTTTGAAAAGGCTTTTGATAAAGTACCACACTCTCGTTTGATCACTGAACTTAAATCATATGGTGCGTGAGAAATTATCTAAGATAGGAAGAAAACTTTTAAACAGAAAACAGAGAGTGATCCTCAGCGAGAGTCTCAGATTGGCTACCAGTTATCAGTGGTATACCACAGGGATCAGTTTTAGGACCACTGCTGTTTTTTATTTTCATTAATGATTTGCTAGATCAAGTCAAAAACCCTATTAAACTTTATGCTGATGATAGTAAAAAAATAAACTTTTCAAAAAATCCGAATGATTCAATAAGCCTTCAAAATGATATAAATAGTATAATGGTATGGTATAATAGTATAATGGTATGGTATAATAGTATGGTATGGTATGGTATATGGTATATGGTAATGGTATATGGTATATGGTAATGGTATGGTATAATAGTATAATGAAAATAGTATAATGGTATGGTATAATAGTATAATGGATCACCTAACTGGCTCACAAAATTTAATTATAAAAAATGCAAAACTATGCATATCAGGAAAAAAAATCCAAATGCTACATTTATTTATGACTGATATTGATTGCAATTACAATTATATATTATGTAACACAGAAGCTGAAAGTGATTGATTATGTAACACAGAAGTTGAACGTGATTTAGGTATAATGGTTCAATTGGATCTAAAATGATTCAGTAACTAGCAAAGCAAACAAAATGTTAGGTATCATAAAGAGAACATATAAATATTTTGGTCTATACAACATTCATATATCCACATCTTGAGTTTGTGGTCCAGGCATGGTCTCTATTCCTACAACAAGATATAGACAAAATTGAGATGATCGAAAAAAGAGCAACCTAACTAGCTTATTAAAAAATTACCTTATGAATTTAGGTTAAATATTGTGCAATTAACAACTCTAGAAGAACGCAGACTACGTGGAGATCAAATTCAACATGGCCATGATAAAATAAATTGGGTTACATACCTTATTTATTATATATATACCATAAACATTATTATTAGCCAAGTTATCTGGTGATTTTTTAGGAAAAAAAATTAATAGTTTTATTTTTTTCTCATTTATAACACTAAAATAAATTATAAATTAGTATACCATTTTATCAATTTAATTTAAATTTTTTTTTTTTACCTAAAGTACAAATATCTGTATTTGTATTTGGAAAATGCCAATTGCGTATATTTGTATTTCAATTTAAATTTAGAAATCTAGAATTAACGTGTTTGCATTTGATCAAATAAATTTGACCCCAATCCTGCCAACAAAAAGAAATAACAGCTTCCATTTATGCATATATATGCAGGCCTTGTTTTAAAGCGTAAACTGGCGCGCCAGTTTACGCTTTAAAACAAGGCCTGATGTTATAGGCGCATCAAATAAACATATTAAAAAAACTATTTATCGTTTTGCAGAATATTTATTTAACAAATATATGCATTTTTTATATTTTTCATAACAAACAATAACAATTTTTCATAACAAACAATAAAAAAAATATTTACCTAATTTAAAAAAAATAGAAAACAAAACAAAAAATTATTAGCTAAAAAATAGCACACACTAAATTTTATTTTATACTAGTGTCACTTTTGATATTTTAATTTTTGTTTGTTTGTTTTGTTATAATGATTGACTACAAACTTTAAATGACATCTTATAAAGAGTGTTTTTTTTATAATTAAAAAAAACAACTTCTTTTATGGATATATCTCTATCATTCATTCTATCAATTTATGCTTAAAGCAATATAGCTCTAGCAATGTCTTCCTTTATATTTCTAGTTTTGTTTTAAGAAAAATAATATTTTATAATAGTTACATCAGCTTTATATAAATAACAGATTGCGCAATTTCAAAAATGTAAAAACAGAAATTTCCTTATAATTAAGAAAGAATTTTGATTAAAAAAGATAATTAAATTTTAAAAAAAGTGTTCCTTTTTTTTTCTCAGTTTTTCTTCTTTTTTTTTTCTATTTTTTAGAAAAAATAAAATTCCTTGTAAACATGTTATAACTTATAACACTGCATCAAAAATATTCATAAAGCGTACATTTAACTTTTTTGTCTTATAGCAAGTGAAAGCACAACGGTATATATTTTTAATAAATGATATTTTGAAACTTAAGTCTTTGTTTGCCACAAAAAACATATTTTAATTCATTTATACAAATTTCGAGAAAAGAAAGAAATTAATTTATGTTAAATGATAGTAAAAAAGGAAATTTAATTATTAAATTAATAACAATTTAATTATTAAAATTAATAATAATTTAATTATTAAAAATTAGAAAAAAAAAATTGAAACAAAATAGACATTCCACAATATGTACATTTACAAAATTTGTTTTTCTTAATTAGTAAAAAAAACTTGTTTTGTAGTAATTTATTTTATTGAGGTAGTTTAAAAAGATTATTGTCTTTAAATAATAATAAAAAAATATATAATTTTATGATGTCAAAATTGCTAAAAGCTAATTAGTTAAGCTGTTTTTTTATTTAAAACAAGGCCTGTATATGGATATAAAAATATGTTTGCTTTTTATTTAGATTTTTTATTTTTAAATAAACATTTTTCAATCTTTTTCCTGGATTATGTTTACAAATATATTTTTATTTTGAAATTTTTATTTGCAAGCAAATTATTTCAGCAAGGTGAAATTAAACATTTTTTTTTGTAATTGGTTCACAAACATTTTTCACAATCAAGGTTTTATGACATTTCAGCTAATTGTTGATTTTTTAAAATTTTACTGAATTTGAAGAAAAACAGTACTTAGGATTTGAAAATGATAATTTTTTTTTCATATATAATTAACTTAGCGGCTCCTAATAATACTAATACTAAATTGGATAATTTTATTCAACACTTTGCTTATTTTAGATTTCAATCACATATACATAATTTTAAAACTCTTGTTTTGCAAATGAATTATTTTAGTAGACTTCAAATTAACATCATTTTTTTTAATGATTCTTTGCGCAAAGTGACAAGGCCCATGTATACTTGTACCAAGTCCTAAAGATAATAATTTAGCAATGAGTTTTAATCAAGTCCTAAAGATAATAATTTAGCAATAAGTAAATAAGAGCAAACCAAGCCATCTACTGTCCACCACTCATCTTGTCTAGGTATCAACTTCTGGGTTAATAATACAAGAAACAAAAGATTGAAAAATGTACATAGTGGAAAATTTAAAAGCAATAATCAAAAATTTACCAAACCCATCATATCTATTTAACCGACCACTTAAGTTATTTTTACTACTCAATTTACTTAAAACAAATTTAATTTTAACTGTTTACACATACCTGACACTGGATCGCTGTTACTATGTTTGATATAAGTACTTCCATCTACGCATTTTAACTGCTTCGAAGCTTCTAAAAAACATGCTTTAGAACAAAGATCCCCTCTATATACCTGTCTGCCATTAATTTCTGCTGAAAACCCTTGAAGCTCTTTAAGTTTTTTACAACCTGAGCAATAATCCAATGTGTCAAATTTGTTTAGTTCATGGACTTCATCACCTTAAATTGAATTTAATAAAAAATGAACACTAAACTTAATTTTTAATCAGTTTAAAAAAACGTAACTAACTCACTGGTAAAAAAAGAAAAGAAAAAATAACTCACTTATTGGTGAAATAACATGCAACTAATTAACTTATTGGTGAAATAACATGCAACTAATTAACTTATTGGTGAAATAACATGCAACCAATTAACTTATTGGTAACAAAGATGAAACTAACTTACCTATTGGTGAAAAACTTTTATCTTCATTAGTTTTCCGTTTAAGAGCTTTTTGGTGATACAATCTCAACTTTTTTTCATAACTTTTCATTTCTTTTTCATACTTTACTTCCCATACCTATATTTTTGAAAATTAAAAACAAAATTAAAAAGAAGAGCAATATTTAACAAGAGAAGTGTATTTTGCATAATGCATATATTTGTTGAACAATCTTCAATGTATTGATTTTCCTTTTAAATCTCAACCTCAATAATCTTTATAAAGTTAAACTAGACTCAAGCTTGTATACCATTACTTATTTAGTCTGATATGACTCAAACTTGCATATTATTACATATATAGCTTTTACATTATTACTTATATTTAGACTTACGCTTTGATCAAACATGTGCTTTATAAAATGAAAAATATTGTCAAATATACAATTAAAATCAAAAATATATAACTGCTTAAATAACTATATTATTACAATTAATTATAAATCAAAAATATATGCGCTTGAAACACACTAAACAACACTTTTTGTGCATAATTGTATAGCTATTAAGCAATAGAAACAACTGTTTATACTATCTTCTGGACAAGTCAACAAATAACATCAGTTCAGAAAAAACTGCTACACCAAAACCTGACAAATTATGTCCAGCCCTCAAAATTAGGGTTGGCATTAAGCAATGCCAATCAAAAAGTGTTTGACCTTGTTTTTATTTTTTTTAGTAAGACCTTTGTATCAAATATTTTTGCTGACCTGATGCCGACCTCTAAAAGATTGAGGTCAGCAAATTATTGCAGACCTCATTTTTCCTAAATCTGAGGGTTGTATGTCATGGCTGTAAAGGATATGCAGATTTCAATTCTTAATTAACTGCCTTCTAATGTAAATGTGAGTGTATGCACAGTTGAAAGACTAAAAACTCTGCTGTAAACATACATCTTCAACCATACCATCCTGCAATGAAACCAAAGCTTTTTCAAAAAAATATTTATTACCTCAAATTTTACAAAGAACAAAAGAACTGGAAAAAAACAACAAAAGGACTGTTTAAATGTGGAAACATCCCATGTTTTTAGATGAAGGGCAGATTGAGCAGTTTGCAGTATATAGAATGGTTCAAAGTTTTAAAGATTGAAGAATATTATTTAAATAAACTATTTCAGTTCACACCAAAGTGTATGAGATATTTTTATTCAGTATTCTGATAGTGGTCATGTAAAAACATAAATAAACCTGTATAGTTTGTAATGTTTTTACTTAAACCAGTTGCAAAATATTAATACATGTCTGCAACATAAACCTGTAAATACATATAAACATAAACCTGTAAATACATAACATAAACATTTATAAAAATAAAGCATTCTATTCATTGATCCTGCACAAACTAGATCCCTAAAACTTAATAAAAACTGTCTGACAAACTATTATACTGCTATGTGTGTATGTTTAATACCAAAAAATAACAAAATAGCTTTCAAAACTTTTTAAAACTAACATGTGATAAAAACCTTTTTCAAATAATGATTTATAAAAATTAATTACCTTTCTTTCTACATCACTTAACAAACTCCATTTTGCACTTATGACGCAAGCCAAGTCATATGGTGAACAACCTGGATGTTTGTGTTTAATGTCTTGGAAAACCTAAAGAAATTGAAGCTCATTAAAAACTTTTAACATAAAAAATTTCACATTTTTAGTTTAAACTGTGACAAGGTTTAGTGGTGACCAAGAAAAATTTAAATTTTATGACAAAAAATGAAAAAGAACAAAGTGCACTTTTAAACTTAAAACAATGAAAAAAAAATTTTCTATAAGAAATTTTAATTACTTGAACTTCAATTTAATTCTTTTAATTTAGTTCCTTAAAAAAATAACTTGATGACAGTTAAAAGACCCTCTGTTTATATATGTACTAAGCTCTTGTAGATGGCAACCAACCAAGGCAACCATTAAAATGTCATCATTGATGATGACTATTTTATGATGATGGTATTCCATTACAATCTCATCAGTAAAATGCCATCAACTCCCAGTAATAAAGGATTAAAACTATTGATAAGAAAAGACTTTTGTAATTAAAATTTAAATGAATAAATTCAATACTTTTAACCTTGTTATTAAATTATGTAACACAAACTATAATGAACAAATTTTTATGACTGCTTATACTTAAACAGATTTCAAAAGATTTTAAATGATTAAAAAGTTTATTCTTTTTCAGAATTTGCATAGTCAACTTATTTTAATTTTTTAGTTTTGAAAGTTTTTTTTGTTAATAATTTAAAAAATTCTAACTATTATTCTTTGTAGTTTTACATTTTCTTGTACTTTGAAATCTTCCATTCTTCTTACTTTGTTCTTGTTTTGTTTTTTTATTTATTTGTTTGATAAAAAAAAAAAAAAAGCAAACAAAAAACTCAAAGAGTTTTTAATAAATAAACTTATAGCGGTTGTTAAAAAAAAAAAAGTTATTATTAAATTTTTTTTTTTTTTTAATAATAACTTCTTACAAACTTTTAGACATTAAATAACACATTAAATAATAATCATTTTTTTGCTCTTTGTGATTATTGCACAATTATTGCACAATTATGTAACAGTTGGTAAAAGGAGTTTTTATTTAAAAAATGTAAATTTATTATTTTTATTTATAAATTTATTATTTTTATTTATAAATTTATTATTTTTATTTATAAATTTATTATTTTTATTTATAAATTTATTATTTTTATTATTAATTTATTTTTTTTAATGTTTATAAAAAGCGACTCTAATTTAGATTGATACATTTAACTTCTTGTTTATAAAAAATTTATACTTTAGTTTTTGTTTTTTTTTTGGTATAGAGACAAGTGTGGGCGACAACATATCAGTACATATATATTTAATGGTAGGCTGCAGTGTGTATGTATGTGCATGTATGTATGTACATATGCATACAGATCTTTGCCTACTATATCTTGTCCCAAAGTCCTTGCTGCCATTATACCTAAGGAGTCCGGGTTCAAAAAATGATTGTTCCTCTAACCTAAAAGTCTTAATTTTTTTCCTATTAGTAGTCCATAAACTTATTTATATTTTTAGAGCTCCTGGATACCAAAAAATATGAGTTTTTTCATTAAAAAGTATGACATATTTGGTATGTATGGAAAGATTATTTTAACCACTATTATAATCTGGTAAAAGTAATGCGGCTATAACAACTTGTCAAGCATAGTTTTATTTATAAAATTTTAAACATAAAGTACCTTGGGGCTTGGCTATAGATAAGTCTATGAACTTGATTTTTTGATAAAAGTACGTATTGGTGTTTGTTTTCAATGAATATAACTTGACATTTTTAATCAGAAATTATTTGGGGGAAATTATCAATGAAAAACCATTTTTTTATGAAAAATGAAGTTACTATTTTCAATACCACACCTAAATGAGTATGTTAAACAATAATGTCATGTTAGATTTAGATAACTTATGGCAGTGTTAATTTTTCTACCAAAGTCGTTTTTGCATAAATAATCATAACTTTTAGCCCCATTTAAAAACTGTTTTCGGTATTTAGTATCCATTTTTGAAATACTCGGGACTTAACTGGCCATCTTGAAATAATAAATTATTACATTCAGAATGCGTAAACAATTAAAAAACAGAGGCGGAAAATTTTATAAATAATTTACATTCAATTCGAATTCTTTGTTTGCATAAATTAAATACCAATAAATTAAAAAGTTTTTCAGTTTGCCACTAACAACCAATCAGATTTGTTTTAAATTATCGTGTTTTTTTTTTATACGAGTTTGTTTGTTCTATGCCTTAGTTGCATTGAGTATATCTTTTTTCTTCTCAATAATATAAAAAATATTTATAAAAACTGTTTAGATCTTCATCTGATGATATATTGGACAACTTGAGTGTTCAAAAGTTTATTTTGAAAATAAAAATGATTTATCCTTGATAGCTGTGGTGCTAAGTGTACCATAAAGCCTTTTTCCTATAATTTTCGTATAAATTTTTTTTTTTTTTATATATAAAATTTATTTCAAAATAATAATTATTTACAAGTTTTACATACTTTTTTTGCATAATAAATAAGCTCATAATATTAAATGTTTTTCCACATAAATTTTACATATATATTCCAATATATATACTTAATTTTTTTAGAATAACTTTTTGACTTTATATATATATATATATTTATTTATTTATTTATTTATCATTGTTTAATTTTATATTTTATTGTATTTTTTGATTATGTATTTTTTTGTGTTTTTTAATTTTGTATTTTTTTGTTTTTGTTTTTTGTTTTTTTTTGTTAAGTGCCGTTGTACACAAAAGCGCGAGCTACAACAAAACGGATTACCACAGCTTATGCACTTAATTAAAAATAGAACATGCATTTTAAAATAGAACGTAAAAGAATCGAAAAATTATACAGATTTGAGAACAGAAAGAAAAAAATGAAATTAAAAAAGTAGGAAAGATTTTAAAATGCAAAGAAAATTAATATAAAAGAAAATTCTTACAATTTCCTCTCCGCACAACTTAAGATATCATAGGCATCAAAATTAAAATTTAAATCTTGCTTGTCGTGGATTAAAACATCTGTGTCATTCTTTTCTTTTTCATGGGTAACCACTACTTTTTCTTTGTTTAAAACTCCTCTGTTTTCTTCGCTAGAAATTTCATTGCTACTTTTTTTTGATTTGGAACTTTTTTCTGTTTTGATTTTGGTTCTTTTTCTACTTGATGTTTTAATTTCCATGTTACGTTCATCAACTTCTAAACTTGTAATTTTTTCGTCAGTTACTGCCATGATCTCTGAAATTTCTGTTTGTGTGTTGGGCAAACTTTCTGAATTATTCGTTGGTATGTTTTCTGAAGTGATAGTTGATGAAGATTCCGCACTTGATGAACCACTTAAGTTTACAAGCTTTTGGCTATGTTGAGGTTGCCCATTATGTTTGTAGCGTAGTGTGAACCCATCGACATTTTGATATCTTGGCAACAAGTTAATGTGAGGGTATTGCCAGTTTTTAATTATAATTATTATGTTTCCTGTCAGTATATCTTCTCCGTGTACCTTTACCTTTTGACAGCTAAAAGACTCAAATGCACCTCTACCTGCCGCAAGGTGTTTACCTAAGGTGGTAAGGGCACCTGAACCTCCGCTCAAAAGGACACCAATTGGAATATTTTGTACTAATACATGTATGTTGCGTACAAACTTTTGAGCAATTGAAAGAGATACGTTTTTGATGACAATTTCAGTCTCAAGAAATTCAGATACTTTATTGACGCTATTGATAACAAATTCAAAGTACCGATGATTATAATGTCTTGTAACGCCCCAGACGTAGCATAGTAATTTTTTTTTAGCGAGAACTTCTAAAAACTCCTCCACGCTACAATTAAGGTCACCATACCGGCATATGAGAACAGAAGTTGACGAATTTTGAGTGGTGGGTTTAAAAATACCAAGGTTGACACGTCCAGGTTCTCCGTTGCCCTCTGGAGCCACCTCATTAGCATAACTTTTTGCCATCAATTAAAATTATGTCAAAGATCTCAATAATAAGTTGAGTACTGCAATATTAAATCCAAGTGTAAATTAAAATCCAAACTGCAAATTAAAATCCAACTTAATGGTGCATACCATATTATCACAAATACTGAAAAGTAGTTTAGATGTGTTTTTTTCATATAAATACTTGCATTTTTCATAAGAATATTACTTTTTTGCAAGTTTGTTTTAAACCTCTCCCATCACTTAAACAAAATATTGGTTGACATTTTATATACATTTTTACTTCTGGGTTTATAAAAAATTAAAGTAGAATAAACAAAAAAATCCAATAAAAATTCATAGTTAACTAAAATTATTAAAACGATTTAGTTTTTTAAAAACTTTGTTACATATATACGTAAAACTATGTGATAAATTCAGCATTCACAAGCTAATGCACCAATATTGGTATATCAATATTGGTCAATATAAGCATGCCAATATGGCCTCAATATTGGCATTTTAAAATTAGACAAACAATATTTGAACAATATTGTATGCTAATACTTGCCAATCATGGTATGGGGTATTTCCATGTCAAATGAACCAGAAAACTTTAAAAATGTCACCCTACATCTCAGACTTTGCTAATTTTGTATACAGTTGAGAGTACTTTATAAAATAAGAAGGGATATGGGGGGGGGGGGAGGTAGGTGTATCGCCTCCTAAATTTTTTTTGTGGAATAACCCTTGTATATATATATATATATATATATATATATATATATATATATATATATATATATATATACAGGGGCTATTCTAGACCGTTTTCCACAGCATTGACCATATTTGGGTGCCGTCCAAATTAAAATTTGAGGACCTTTTTTTTTTACGCTTTTTACTGCAATTATTGTTATTTTTGCTAAAAAACCACTAATTTTCTGCTAAAGTTTGCTGGAACAAGGGGGTACTGCTGCCCTAATTTTTTTCCTAGAATAGGCCCTGATGTGTATATATATATATATATATATATATATATATATATATATATATATATATATATATATATATATATATATATATATATATATATATATATATACATTGTCTCAAACTGAAGATTTTATTTGAAAACTAGAGCACAAAACTTTGCTCTAAGGATTTTATTTTGAACAGTTGCTATGATTAAAAATACTATGCAGAGCCATGGTATCTTGCACTATTACTGTTGCATAACCTAGATGTTTTGCAACTGCAACTGTTGTAGTGCTTTTAGATACAATGCACAGGTAAAAAAAAATGAAATAAAATGCCTTTTAGTACCCCTAAAAACATATGTAAAACAATATTTAAACTATATTAATATACTTCATTGAAAAATAATATATTTATCAGAATTTTCTTAATTTTCTAAGTTTAGTTGTCCTACCTTGCACATATATACTTACTTTATATAAATGGAAAAAAATTAAGTTATAGTATATATTTAAAATTACAAACCATATTTCTGTAGCTCATATATGGGGTCAAAGGCTTTTTTGGTAAATTTGTCATCTCAAAATGACCATTATTAGTCTAAATTCAAAGTGTAAGAAAAAAAAACATTAATGGTTTAAAAAAGCAACATTTCATAAATTAAAATTTAATAAAAAACAGTTAAAAAAAATTATAAATTATAAAGAAATTTCTTCAAAGCTAATATACTAAAAGTATTTCAACTTATAAAGTTACTTTCAATGTGATACATTTAACTAAATTACTTTGTGATAAATTCAAATAAGTCCCTAAAATTTTTTCTAATAAAAAATAATTTTTTAAATAAAATTTTTTATTTAAAAAATGTTATACTTGAGCTTATTTTTTTAAATTTAACTAAATAATAATTGTGCACCAAGAAAAACTTGCTGTTTTACCAGAAATATACCCTTGTTATTACAGTATTATCCTTATGTCTTTAAGATAAACTCATTTTTACAGACTTAATCTATCAGACTTAATCTTAAAGAGTTTCAGTATTAAACAATAAAATTTTGACAGAAAATTATTTTAGTGGTTTTTTTATTAAATACTTAAAAAATTGATCATTGATCAAAACAACACAATTAAAATATATTTTTTTTAATTTTTAAAGCAATGAACAGACCAGAAAAAATTAAAACAGAGTTCACAATGTTTAAATAAAAATAATTAAAAATATAAAACGAGGTGACCAGCAAATTATTTAACTGATAATACTATACTTTAACATGTACTTAAATAACTTCGCCCACATCTACGCTATTCCTTTAATTGAGTATTATATATCAATTATATAATATATATGCTATAGTATATAATATATATATATATATATATATATATATATATATATATATATAAATATATATATATATATATGCTATAGTATTGTTAGGATTCACGCATGCTTATTGGAGATATATGGATTTATGTGTTTTTAGCAAGTTTTTTGTGTGTATAAGAACCCTAAAAAAAGCCTGATTTCGATAAGTGCTGCACTCTCCTATGCAAAAAGAAGACCATTTGCTTTACATATTACGCTCTATAAAATGTATAACATTCATACCTTATATGGATATAATATTCATAAAAGGATCAGTAAGTGATGTAAGAAAAACAATGTTCTTTGTTTAAATGTTAAACAACATTCTTTGTTTAACATTTTTCATTTTGTGAAAAGGATACTTTGACATGCTAAAACTCTCAAAAATTAAACATACCTAAAGTAACTTATTAAGTCTAGATTTGTTTGTAAAAATGCATATATATATAAAAGACTTCAGGAAAACATCTACTAAAACACCAATGTTAGTTTTTTATGGCATTTATCTATTATTTAGTTTAAATCGAAAAAAAAAAAAAAAATTGAAATAAATAAATTTAACCACAAAATAATTTAGCATTATTTTTTTTAAATTTAAAAAATATGCAAAATACCAGGATAGAAGTAGTTTACAAAATAACCAGAATAGAATTAACTATCAAAGTTAATTAAAAAACCAAACAATCAAAAATGCAATAGTTACAGTAGGTAATTAAGAAATTCAGTTAATTAAAATCTTGTTTAAAAATTAACAGTTGATGTTATAATTCAATGTAAATATGAAATAAAAAATTGTCAATTGAAAATCAAAATCAAATCTTAATCTGCAATTTTGGAAAGTTAAGAATTTTTATATCAACACAAGATGTGTTGGATCCCTTAATGTTTTATTATTAACATGTATTTAAAGATTGAATAATAATCATTCTTCATTATAAAACTTTATAAAGTTATGTAACTACTACTAATAATAAATTAATATTAAAGAATACAATAACAAATAAATATCATTGCATTGATGCTAAAGTTTCAAGAAAGTTGTTTTTTTACTAATTATTATAATACAAATATAATTTATTACAAATTTTTTTTGCTAGATTGTGGCATCATCAGCTCAGTGACAGACCGATCATTTTTTGGTGTTTGAGATAGTTGACTTCCAGACATGGAGCAAACTCCAAACATTTGTATGTTTATACTTATGTAAAATAATGATTCTCTGCAAAAAGTTGCGATGATTGGAGGCTGGGAACAAAAAATCACTATAATTCCCCCAATCCCACTGTAAATGTGAAAGGAAACAAGTTGATAAAAATTTATATCATTCTTAACTAGACTTATATTCATTGATAAATTTTAAGTTTCATAGCATTATCTTTCAGCATTCATAAATTATGACCATATAAAGTTTAACCCCCCCCCCCTCAATTTGAGGGGGTAACAAAAAAATGCTGGATCTGCTCATAAAACTATACAAATTTTTTAAAGCCACTCTTATCAAAAGCATCTTCACATTGAAAAGAGTTTTTCAATGTGAAGATGCTCAAAAAAATATTTTCATTAAAAAACTTCTAATTTAGCTTGAAGAAAATTAAAATTTGATTCATAATTTAAGGGGGATGTTTTGAATTTTTATTAATACAGAACAACTTTTCATTAAATTTTTTGTATGGCTTTTAAGAATTTTTGAAAAGTTAAATGTGAAATCAAGAAGATTCACTATTTTTAAATTAATTCTTTTTTCAATTTGAAAGCCAATAATTTTGAAAATATTTTTATTTTTCTGATATTATCAAGTTGATTTAATTAAATATTGTACTGTAACTTAAAAATTACAGTACAGAAATTAAAAATTATTTGTAACAATTCTAAAACATGAGTAAAGAGGGGAAACCCTAATAAAACCAAGTCTTATATTTATTTAAGCAGACCTGGCATCTAGCATCCCTGTCAAAATCAAGTCCCACTGACCCTATTTAGATAAAAAAAATATATATATACCCGAGATGTGTTGTGTTCAGAAACCTGCTCTGAATCTGTTGCATCTAAATAGAAAAATTGACTTGATTAGTTCAGATTACTATAAGTATAAACTTATATGCCAATCTGATTTATCATTAACACAGATAATAATCTTCATCAGTGCTAATGTTCATCTACATATATATATAAAGAAACCTTGATGGTCAAACATAGGAGCATAATAAAGTGTACATGGTTTCTTATGATAATTTTTTTATTGCCTCTCTATATGTATTATGGTGAACAGCAAAATGCATACATAACATTGAACAAAGGTTCATCAATAGAAAGAAAATTCGTAATAATAATAAGATTTTTTATATTGCATGGCAAAAACAACTTGGATAAACAAATAAAAAAACTGATAATTTACTAAAGTTATATTTTGGCTGACAGCAAACCACATCAAATGAGGTTGCTTTAATAATGAACATAATTTAAAAAAAATAATAATAATTTAATGATAACAATAAACAATAAAAATTATGATTTTTTACATCTAAAAATAATACAACCACCAATTTGCATAGTTGAAATTAGTTTTTAAATCAATTAAGAGTCCCAATTGCAAGTCTATTAAAGCCAATAAATCTTAAACTTACACGCATTGTTCAATATTAACTAACTATTTTAGGTTAATAAATACAAGACTACCACCAAAAGAAATAACTGAAAATCCAGGACATTTGTTTTTAAATATAAAACTCTAGAGTTTTCAAGGAGTTCCATTTTATTTTCATTTTCTGGATTTCTTTTCTTTTATAATAACCAATCCAAACATCAAAAAAATATGTTTAATGCTTTAACTCTACTGAACAAAGCAAAAATAAAGTCTTCAAATTTTCATTTTCATTTAAAAGAGTAAACTACTTTAACAAGTAACACTTCTTGAAAACTTTTCAGTAAGAAAAATTTTCTTGAAAACTCTTCAGTAAGAGGAATTTTCACACAACTCTTCAGTAAATGAAGTTTCATTTTTTGAATTTAGACTACTTTATTCTCAATATCAACAATTTTGCATTTCAACTTCATACTTTGTTTTTTTTTTCTTTTTGCAGTTATAAATATTCTTCATCCCTTTTTCTCATAACATGTTAAAGCAATTTTTTATTTATTTTAAACTAGGGTTTCTCAAACGGGATCCCGGGATCCCGTTTTCCCGGGATCCCGGGGATAAAAGTGGCAGCGGGATTTCCCGGGATATCACTCTTATATCCCGGAATATAATTTTTTTTTAAATAATTTTACATATGATAACTTTGAACTAATTCGACCAAAAATAAGAAAAATATTATTGCATTTAGTTGTGTTTTATGTGTTCATACCTTATATTAAAACCTAGCACAACAAGAAATGCTATTGAAACTATCTTAAACTAAAAAGAAATGCATTGCAATGCAATGTTTTCTTTTTTCTCATTATTATAAAATATGAGTAAAAAATAAAAAAGATTTCTTGCGACGAAAACAGTAAGTTTAATTTTTAAACTTCTAAATTATTGAAAAGTTAAACTTTTTCTGTATCAAATTATTGAAATATTTAATAATTTTTGTATTTAAAAAACGGCAAACAAACACATAAAAGTCATACGTAAGATAACATACATATGTAAGAAATATTTGTAACTTTACTTTTAGTTGTTCTGCAATTCAATTTAGTTATACTATGTCAATTGTAAATGGATCCAAAGCATGGCAGTATTTTTGTAAAGAAAAATCTGGCGAATCTGCAATTTGCAAAAAGTGCAATGTAAAGATAATGTGCAAAGGATTTTCGACCAGTGGGCTCCTACGTCATTTAAAAAACACACATAAAGATTTGGATCTAAATATGAAGCGTCTACTTGAAGATACTGGTTCGGAAAATAAAATTGTTCAAAAGAAAATAACATTGTTTGTTAAACAGCAGACTATCGAGGAAATTGTGTCAAAGCTTGCAACGGTGGATGGCTTCTCAATAAATGCCATAACAAAAAGTGAATTCATTAGAAAATCATTGTCTGAAAAAGGCATGTTATTACCAAAAAATCCATCCCATGTTATGGGTATGATAAAAAAACAATATGAATTAGCTAGACAAACTGTGGTTTTAGAGATAACAAAAGAAATTTCTAGCGGGTCGCGATTTTCTTTATCGTTAGACGAATATACGTCTTTAAAAAATCGACGTTATTTAAATGTAAATTTACACTTATCAACAAAGTTTTGGAACCTGGGAATGACTCCGATAGCTGGATCACTTCCTGCAGAAAAAATTGTTGATCTAGTTGAAAATAAACTGTCAGATTTCAGTTTATCAATTAAAAAGCACATCATAGCTAGTGTCACTGACGGAGCATCCGTAATGAAAAAATTTGGACGGCTAAGTGGTATTGAACATCAGCTGTGTTATGCCCACGGACTTCATTTGGCAGTATGTGATGTTCTTTACAAAAAGTCAGACTCTTCAGCAAAATATATTGAATTTGAATCGCAGTTTCAAGATTCCGATGAAAATTTGAGTAATTACGACGAGTTTGATGATGTATTTGACTGTAATGATGAGTCACACAGCTCAACAGGCGTTACGTTTATTGATGATTTACAAAATAGCGTAAATATAGCCTTAACAATTCAGAAGGTTCGAAAAGTGGTTCGAATGTTCCGTAAATCACCTCTTAAAAATGAAGTTTTACAAATGTACGTAAAATCTATGTTTAATAAAGAGCTTAAGCTGATATTAGATGTCAAAACGAGGTGGAATAGTCTTGTTGCAATGCTAGAAAGATTCCTTAAAGTAAAAACATGTATACTAAAAGCAATGATCGATTTAAAAGAAGTTCTGAATATCTCCGAAGATGAATATGCGATTATGAACGACATAACATTTTCTCTGCAACCAATAAAAGTTGGAATAGAAAGACTTGGTAGAAGTAATGCTACTCTACTTGACGCAGAAGGTGTAATGATATTCATCTTAGACGATTTGACGGAGAAAAAAAATTTTATAGCTAATAAACTGCTTCAATCTGTGCAGCAGAGAATTGAAGAACGCAGAAATGCCAATTTAATTGGATTACTAAAATTTTTAAACAACCCAATTAGTTATAATCAGGAATCAAATATCAACTCCAAACTACTCTTACCGCCCAAACATGCATTAAAAGCAACAGCAAAAAAAATTTATACCAGGTTGTACATAGAGGATGCTAGCCTTAGTTCATCAAATAATGAAATAGTTGAAGTGAGTCGTGATAATGAAAGCATGGTTTCTGACCCGTCAATACCTCAACCTGTTGCTCCATTTTATTAGGCAAAAGTATTTTGACGCTTGAACAAAAATTGGATGCGACTATTTGTAATGTCAAACAAGTAGAAAAAGCAGCTCTAGAAAACATTAGCAATTTAAAAAACCTCACAAAAGAAATCAAACTTTTTGAGGCAACTGGAAAGCGTAGCGAAAGTTTAGAAAGAATATACTCAACATTAATGACCATCAAGCCGACATCAATTGAATCAGAAAGGGCTTTTTCTGCCGCGGGTCTATTTATGGGAAAAATTCGTTCACGATTAAGTGACAAATCAATTGATTGTTTATGTTTTTTAAAACAATATTTCATTTTAAATAGTAATATAGATTAGCGTGCTAAGATAAATTTGTGTCAGAAACCGCTTGTTATTATATTAAAAATTATGCCGGGAAATCCCGGGAAATCCCGGGATAAATAAGTTACACACCGGGAATCCCGGGATGCTAAATTTACGGGAAATGAGAAACCCTATTTTAAACCTATCAGGTATTTTTTCAAACACTGACAAAAAAAAAAATTTTCAGATTTTCCACAAGAAGTTGCCTATTCACACTGAAGACTCAACAGATAACTGAAGACATGCTTAACAGATAACTTAAGACATGCTAAATAGATAACTGAAGACATGATCAACAGATAAATGAAGACATGCTCAACAGATAACTGTCCATCTAAAAGCTCAAAAACTAAACTAAAAATTCTGAACGTCATGATAAGCTTTAATTATCTCAATAAGGTCTGAGAAAAAATCAAGATATCTATCATTACAAAATCTTGAAATTTTTTTCAATTAGAAACAAATACTTTAAACAACATCTGATATTGTTTTTTTGAAAACTCATCTTGTCTTAATGACTTTGGTGACTATGGTGACAAACATTCAACTAAGTTTGATAATAAAATTTTTGATACACATCTTTTAATTGGATTAAGAATGAAAACTCTATTAATTAAATATCGAAAAAGTGCTTTAAGTTCACCATTCATGATATTTCTCTAGGGACACAAAAATTGACTAAAATATAAACCTGCAGTACTTATAAACATGAAATTTAAACATGCAACAACAAAATAAATTTATTGAAACTCAGAAGAAAGGTTTTCAAAAAATATTAATGCACAGTTAGATATTATTGTTAGACATTAAGATACTTTTAAGAATGAGTTCACTATATCACTAAGTATGATTGCCATAAAAAAAATTTTCAGTTTGAAATCTCAAAAGACTAACTTTTTTTTATCTGTTTGGAAACCGTCATAAAAAATAAGGAGTTAAGCTTGAGAAACTAAACTGTGAACCATGTTTGTCTGTCTATGCATACATTTTTTTTTGAACCAGGTTATTTGCTCTTTTTTTAAAATAATTGACATGTTATAAATATTTTTTAACTATCAAAGATAAATAAAACTGCAATACATGTGTTTCAATGATGCTTTTATTGGCTGCCATAGTTGCCATAGCTGCCATAGTTACCAATGATATTTCATAGGTTTCCTTTAAAAAGATTTGTTCATATTTTGCTGGAAAACAATTTACTAAATAAATTTTCAGAATCAATTGAAGAGTTCATTGAACATCTAAAATAAACTATTAATAAACCAGCATATTTCACTGCATGGATGATTTCATCAACATTTTATTGATTTTTATTGTTGTTCTGTTTCATGTTATTCTAAAATAAAATCTGAATCTGGAACAGGTTCAGAGAAGACTAACTTTTTATAATTATAATTAAAAATATAATATACATTATAACTATTATAAATCAAAAGAACATCCATATCATTTCAAACTTAAAAATAGTTTAATGAATATAAAAGCATTAAGAATAAAATTAATAATAATAATAATAATACCAACAACAAAAACAAATAGATAACACATAGTAGCTAAACTGGAAACAATATTAGAATAATTAAAAAATTATTTTTATTTCAATTTACGATGACAAAATTAATTTAAACTCTAATTATAGATAATAAAAATAGTTAATATTAGTTATAGTTTACTTATAATCAAAAATTATTTTTGAAAAAGCTTAAAAAAACTTTGTTTTAATTGTTATTATTTTTTACTTCTATATATCTTCCATTTTTTCATTTTCTTTTATTATTATTTTTTTTTTATTATTTTTTATTCAAACAGAGTATATCTTTTAAATTATATAGATATAACTTTATCCTTTATCATCTTAACAGTGTTTCTTTATCAAAACTTGAAGTGATTAAAATAGATGAGCTCTCAAATAGATGCATTCAAAGTCAAAGCTTTTTTTTTTCCATTAAATAAAAATATTATGTTTTACCATAAGAAAACAAAAGATTTTAAAATTAGCATTACAGAAAAAAAAAAATTAAAAAAAACTTATTTATGCAAAAATATTTGCAATGATAGTTTTATACAGGTAAACATTAAAAAAAGTTTTTATTTAAGAACAATTAATACAATTAATTGAGTATATAGTTTTTTTTTAACCAAAACAATTTATAAGCAAGTATAGTAAATAAATATAATATAAAGGAAATAACATTTTTAAACAATCAAATTAAAAAAAAAATTGTTGCAATATAACTAATTGTTGCTACATAATTAATTCATAAAAATAAATACCTTGGTTCGAATCTTCAATAAAAGATTTTTTTCTTTTTAAAGGAGGAGAAGAAAGTTCACTTTTTATTAAATTAATTGTGTTTGCGTTAATCATTTCCATAGAACAATCATTTTGAGCAACATTTACTAGTGTACCTAACAAGTCCTAAATTGGATAAAAATCAAAATCATTTATTCAGCTTCATAGTTTTCTAAGTTTGCCTAAATTTAGGTTTTCTAATTTAGTTTAAATTTAATGCAACATAGACTTTTGTCAATTACTAGCAAAGTTAAATAGTGATGAAAACTGATATCACCGCAAAAACAATATAACTATTAGTAGTATTAAATATGGTATGGATAAAGTAAAAATTACTAGACAGTCAAGATATAAACTTTACTTATTTTATATAGTTGTGCAAATTTTATAAATAATAATTGCACATATGCTTCTTTTTAGCAAACTCCTGATACAGTTTCTTTATTAATTTTGTAAAAACATGTTGCAAATACCCCCATAGCAAAAATCAAGAATATAGTGGGAATAATACATAAAACAAGAATGGTCGCAATAGCAGGATTCAATGGAATAAATCAAAGATGGCTTCTAATTAACTTCAAACAAACTAATTTATATTTATCACAAACTACAAATATCATTTAGCTTTTTGAAGTCATAGTGTTTGGTTTTTAACACAGTAGTAACATTCCAAGATTTACTTTTAAGCAAATTTAATCTTAACAAGTCTGCAAGCAACCAATATTTAAATTGGGAGTTAAAAGAACACAAAACAGAGAGAGAGAGTTAAAAAGACAAGAAACAGCTAAAAAAAAAAAGAAAAAAATTGTAAAACACTTTAGTCAGAAATGCATAAAAACAGAAGAAAACTTCATAGTGTCGATATTTGAGGGGAAAAACTAGATAAATAGAAGTTTTTCAAAGAAACAGTTACAATAAAGCAGTTACAATAAAAATTTTCATATTGTATAATACAACACCTTAAGTGGACTTAAAACTTTGAGGTTTTAAGTCCACTTAAAGTGTTGTATTATACAATTAAGATGTTTTAAAAGTTTGAATATATTTGAATAATGCGCTGAAAAAACTTAACTATAAAGAACCTTAAAACAAAAATTTATATATATATATATATATATATATATATATATATATATATATATATATATATATATATATATATATATATATATATATACACATATACATTTTCATACTTTGCAGTAACGTAAACAAAATATAAAATAATTAAATCGTTTCTTTAGAAAGTTGAAATAACTTTTTGATTTAAAGACATTTTTAATACGTACTTATTTAACTATAAAAAAATATATATGATATATTTATATATAAAATTTATGTATATATATTTATATACAAAAATATATGTGATATATTTATATGTATAGGCTGATTCCATCGTTACGTGAGTTACTTTTGAACAATAGTTAAACTCATAAACCGGTGGTTTAAACTTCAGCATAATGCTTTGTGAAATTGCTATTTATTGCAAAATATTATTTAAACTGTACAACAAATAATATTCAAAAACTTATTCTAAAAAGTTGAACATTTCTTATCTCAAATTATAAATCAAAAATTGTTACGTGCGTTATTTGCACACATCTAAAATTTTAACAAGTAAATTTTGACAAGGCTTATTTGTTGTTGCATATTGAAAAACCGAAATGTGCATTACTTATACTTCCAATGAAAATTTTTGTGATATTGACAGACCAGAAGTTGCAACAAATGAAACATATATTAATTTTTAAATTCAGACGATGGTCCTTCCAACCAAATGATTTCTTCATTGTATTAATTTGAATCAGGCAATTTCATAATATAATCGTATACTTTGAAAAGAAATGCAAAAAGTAGTAGTATGCAATAGTATCCTTGTTTTTATTCAGAGCATCAGAGCAATTAATAAAACCTTGTAGTGTATCCCTTGCAATTGTAGCTGTTGTAAAAAGAGTAACGCTAGATCTGATCCACATAGCTGACTGGATTTCAGATTAATATTAGCATGAATGAGATTGCAAAATCTATTTGCAGGATTCTGGACGTAAATTTTGTTTTGTCTTCAGAAAATTCTTCAGCTTGAATTCTTTTCACCCGCACATGATTTACAACCTTTTCAAAACCCTCCTGAATGACACAAATAAGTTCTCCAACAGTACCCTGCTGCTGAATCTTGCGCAGTCCTTTCTTCAATTCAGCAAAGTTGTCATGTTTGATGTACTCATTAATCCATTCATACCAAATTGCTATGTCTTTAACATTCTTGTTAGATTTAATATTAAAGCCATTTTTATGTAATTTACACTCGTTTTTCCAACAGGACTTGGACATAAAAGGAATCAAAACATACACTAAGATTGATAATTGAAAATTTAGATCGAAAATTAAAAATTTTTAAGAGCTATATCTTGAAAACTGCGCATTTATAAGTTGAGAAATTTCAACTATTAGTTTATTATAATTTAAAGCGATTAATATTTTGTAAAATAGTTAGAACTTATAACTGCACTACGAAACTGAATAACACAGTTTAATGACCAGCGGTCTAATAAAAGCGAAATCCACAAAAAAATTACAATACCTGAAAATAAATAAGGTTGTAAATTTTTGCTGGATAATACTCCAAATCAAAAAAATAAATTTTGGTTGATTTTAGTTTCCAAAGATAACTTCAATCTAGTTTAAAACTCCAAATTTACAACACTTTTCAAATGCATATTCCAAATGGGTTCAACTTATAATATTCTTCCTGGTTGTAAAACACCAATTATTTTTGCTCAGACATTCAAAATTTTTATTAAAAAGATTGCCAATTGACAACAGCTTAGATAAATAAAATTTAGATTTTGCCTATTGTTTCTGACTTTAATTACAAAAAATTATATATATATATATATATATATATATATATATATATATATATATATATATATATATATATATATATATATATATATATATATTTAAATTTGATATATATACGTATATAATATTATACGTATATAATATAATAGTATAATATGTATATAAATTTGATATATATATATATATATATATATATATATATATATATATATATATATATATATATATATATATATATATATATATATATATATATATATATATGTGTGTGTGTGTGTGTGTGTTATAAATCATTAGAGGTTGTTTAATTTTTTTTGTTTCAATCGTTATATCATGTTTCTCGATTTCAAATTGATGCAAAATACTATTGAATTTTAAGAACTCCAGGACTCCTGACTCCGTGGGGAAAAATTTAACTTAATTTTAACTTCTAATATTTTCAAAGCATAGTTATTTAATTTTCTCGAATCTATTGTTATTTAAGTATTACAGTAAAATTTGCGCTAAAATAATAAAAACAATATATACATATGCATACATACATGCATACATAGATACATGCATGTGTACATACATATACACATGTGCACATACATACATACATACATACATACATACATACATACATACATACATACATACATACATACATACATACATACATACATACCTACGTACGTGCATACATACATACATACATACATACATACATACATACATACATACATACATACATACATACATACATACATACACTCATGCATACCTAGATACATACATTAATGCAAACATAAACTCATGCATACCTAGATACATACATACATATATGCATAAATACATACAAATATAAACTCATGCATACTTAGATACATACTTATATTGAAGCCAAACAAACTAAATTAATATTTCCTATATATCTGCTATTATTGGTTAGAAGCAAGATTAAAAACTCTTAAAATTTGGACATATCTAATGCACTAGAAGAACACAAAATATCATCCCACCAATTATTTTTATACACAATGCCCAATCCGCTCAAATGTAGTATAAAATTTTCATGCATCACATTTACACTGATCAGCTAGTGTGTTTTTTAAAAGCAGTACATTAGGTAGACGGAGAGCACAAAATTTGGAGGAACAAATTTTAATTGTTTCATTATTCTCAAGAAATAACGTATATGCCTCACGGAGGAACATAGTCAAGTAATACTTCTAAACTAAAGTTTCCTTTCTTCCATTTTTCCAAACAGCCATTGTATCTGCCATAGTGTAAACAATTTCTGGTTGAAAGTAAAAGTCTTTTACTTGTTTTTCAATATCATCTTCCAAACCTTCCACATTGCATTTTTTAAACAAACATGCTGCATCAATTTTAAAGCTGACATTTTCAGCAACCTTGTTAAGTACTTCAAATCTTTTATTGGGAGACGGCGGTAAAGCTTTGAAACAACGTTTTACAGCTTTCCCAAGCGTTTGTGGACAACAAAATGAAGATGACGTAATTGTCGTGTTTGACTCACTCAAAAGTTCTCTAGTTGACGTTGCCGTAGATTTCATAGTTTCGTTTTTCTTAGCTTTACATTACACCACCATTGCAGCTACCTTACGCCTATGTTCAGTTAACTGTTTCTTTGTCATTTAAGCAAATTTTGCAGCATGAAATTGTGCAATTCTTTTATTTTCGCAAACTTGAAATTGTGGATCTTTCTTTTTCTTTTTCATTCTAAACTTTTTAATTCTTTCTGCAGAAGTTAAAACCCGTAGTTTCACTGCTTACATCAAAATTAAAAAAGAAAACAAATTAACACGACAAAATAAGAAACTGAACTGCATTGAGACTTGCGCTTCCAACTGTAAGTTGAATGATTGTAAATCTGTGAACTTATGTCAGTTAAAATATTTGCAAATGCAACTAGAAAGTAAATAAATGCACATATAAATAAGGAATGTCTTTATGAATACATTGCTTACGTGCTCTCACGGCTCGAATTAAGCATATTGCGATCGTGAATTGCGATTGCTTTTTATACCTTCGCGATAAGTTTTTTTTTAAAACATATATTTTTGCCATTGGTTTACTTTTTTAGCTGTTTATTTAATTTTCTAATTTAGCTTTTTTTTTAGGAATTCTTAAAAGTAATGTTTTTATAGTAAAGTACGTCACGCAAAGTTTGTCTTCTGAATAGTAGCATGATCATTTGCTCTTTCGCGCGGAGATTTTTATTCAACGTAAAGCACTCTTTAATTTAAATTACT